CACGAGATCGACAACGTCGGAACATCAATTATCTTTATCGTGCAATTGCAACTGCACTTAACAATGCAACATTGTCGGCCATTAGGCTCGTACCAAAACGTGACTTGAGAAGCGATTATCGCGAGTCGAAGTACAAAGGTGTGCTAAAAAATGCTCGATTTCCGAAGTTTCGACAATTTCCCGGTGCTTATGATATAAGTGTTGTAATCGCGTTGCGATAACGCGCACGGTAGAAATTTTGAGCAATCTCGTGTCTTGATGAAGCTTAAGGCCGACTGATCCATTTTCTATTGACTCTCTGCGCAGATTTGTATTAAAAATATCCTCGCTATGTCGTCCTAGGTCGGTAGAAAAATGGGTGCGATTTCTTTTTCGAGATCTATCGATCGTTGGATCAGCTGGCCTCTGGTCGGAAGTCCAGAAGTACAGGTTAATTAGTCTTAGTGCTCTCACTTACTAGTTCTTTCCTGTGCGAAATTATTCCTCGATATCCCACGGGCAAAAATTACCAAGTACGAGTAGGTGAGAAGAATCGAATAATGATTATTTTTACAATGCTCTTAAACCTAGGTTTAATTAAGTTACCAAGATATACGTAGCTTGAGTCGCTACTGATAAACGGCCGAAAATATCTGCAGTTTTTCCTCGGATAGATCCTTCGATATAAATAATTTCATTCCCTCGCTCGAGAGGACTTATAGCGAAAATAAATCTCTTTGAGGTTATCCTTAAGGTGGGATGAAAGTGGCTTTAAAGCTCTCGTTAATTTTTTTTCCCAAAATCGGACGCACCGAATCTTATAATTCAATTTTTATGAACAATTTTTAAAATACCTATAAACAAATTAAAAGTTTCATGGCGGCACTTTCTTTATAGCATTCACATTGACATTGTCAAGTTTCAATGGATTTGGTACACTGAACTCGGTGAAAAAGTTTCATAAACGAGATCTTCTTTACGGCAGTTTCATATCACCTTAATTGGCGGATTGAAAATTGAAAGTGAGAGTACGTGCACCCAATTATTTCGATACTCCGCCCGTTAATGACAGTTTAATGAGCTCGGCATCTCGTGTACGATAAATCGCCGTGGAGCTTTATGCATTATTAATGTGAACTGTAATCCTCTTACCCGTTTACACGTTTCAAAGTAACTTCCTTGATCCTTCTTGCATACATTTTCAGTTCAGCCCGTCCGAATCGAAGCTCGTAATAAATGCCTGGAAGTCTTACCGGAAAACTTTTGGGAATTTATTCCGCCATTACTGGATTATTCGCGGATAATCTAAATTGCGCAAAGAGGAGATCGGGTTAATATTCTTTCCTTCCGCATTTTTTTTTTTTCTTCTTTTACTGCATTATATCCTGCGCGATTGCCGAGCTAATTACTTCCTCCAGAGCTAACTTGCCGTTTGTGAATCACAGAACCGTCCTTTAATATATCACACATTGATAATTGATTAGCGATCGGAAATCATTCCGTGCAGAGGTTTGAGATTTATTCTTGGAGATGACGTTAAAAATAAAGATTTGACAGCTATGAGAAATACCCAATTTTGGCGACTCGGGGAGCAACGAAAAACGGACGAGTTTACACGCGCGGATCACGTTCTATCGCAGCTCAAAAAGCGTTTACATCGTTATACATCATTAGATTTGTACGTGCGTTGTATTGTAACATTGACTTTAAACGTTTCCACGGGAGATCAACGCGATTCTCACGATGGAAACGTATTTTGCGCCGAGTTGGCCTAGTTTGTACTGCACACTGCACCGCTCGAATATTCGATTCAAGCCCTTCGGTTAACTAAATCCTCAAACTCGCACGATATAAACGGCCGTGATTTCATTTACTAGAGTTGCCACCGAGTAAGATGAGAAAATATGAAAAAGTTCAATTTCTCGATCCAGTCAAATGAAATACATATTCGTGCCTAAGCCTATATTTCTTTCGACAGATCTAATAAAACATTGCGCCATTTGTTGCAATTAAATACGGTTTAAAATAAATTCCCAGAATATTAACGTTTCTTTGAACGGAAATAAAAAAATTATTTTTTAGGGATACATGTGCGTTTCCGCATGAATGTACTTGGCGCGAGACTCTACCGAGTCTCTAGGTAAATTAAATGTATAAAAAGAGGAACTTAATTAAAGGAAAGTCTGTTAACTGAGTTCCCATGAATTAATCTCGCAAGCTATTTAACTAGTTAGAGGTTCTGTCAACTTGACAGTTATGAACATTGACAAAAAATAAAAGAGTGGCAATGGCGGCCCTTGTACAGAGACAAAGGGTAACTTTTCTAATTATCCGACTTTTCGCCCACCCAGTGAACTCGTTTAAGGGCGTGTCCGTGTTTCCTGCTAATTTCCGGGATTTTTCGAAATTCCAAAAGTCCCGCCGAAACTCAAGAACGACGCGGAAAAGGTGATCGATAAATGAGACTGGGAGCAAATCGTGAAAGCAAATGTTTTTTTTCTGTAATTTATAATTAATCGTAAAGTATTTCCTCCTGGTCTTACAGCAATTAAGCGGTTATTAATCTAATTAAATTCCGAGTAATTTTTATACAAAACAAAAAGGAAAAAGGGTAAGTCAAGCCTCGTCGGCGACAGGGCGAGATCGGTGAGAATTTCCAAAAAGGGTTAGAAAACGATAAAAAGACTCTCGATATCCGGTCATCGACCGGCAAAATCAAATTGAAATCGCCACCGATCTCCACCGGAAGTGGACGAAATAGAAATTCCCTTTTCCGGCCTCGCACCCTCCCGAAAGCCACTCTCGCAAAGAATTTCGGGGGAATAAAAAAAAAAGAAAAGAAAAGGATTTTCTTCACCTCGGTTCGCAATTTCGCAAAAAGTACATCTACAAGATCGCAAAGCTTCGCCCATCCGAATTGCGCATCCCCTTCCTCCTTCCTCCGCAAATTACCCCTCTCCCTCTATCATCCACCATAAACTCAACGAGGACTTAAAGTCCCTCTCTACGAGAAAAAAAGATTTAAAGAAAAATAAAAAAAAAAAAGAAGAACACGAAATAAATGGAAAACGAAAACTCGTAAAAATGGTAACCATCTCTTAGTATACAGTTGCGATTCCCCCCCTCGAAGGCGCGACCAATTTGGCCGATGGACATTTAATTTCCACTGACTTTTCATTCATCGGATGATAATAACGAAGACGGCCTAACTAGTTCGAGATGATTTCGGCCGATAAGACGCGCCCTTCGCGGGGGGTCGAAATTACCGGCGTGTACGCGACTCCATTTTGTCATATCTCCTTAATAAGGTGTAGGACGATATCGCACAGCGGGACCACGACGTCGGGGCTCTTAAACTCTAATATAAGTGTCTCCTTAATAATTAGATATATCATATCGAGAGGTGAGAGTACTCTTCGCTATCAATAAACGGATCGTTAATCGTTAATCTGCGATTCACGTGTAACATAGACGCGTCCAGCGCATGGAAACATAAATAAATAAATATTAAATGGATGTATTTACAGAGTCGGGAGGAAGTGGGGGCGGGATATATATATCTATATATGTGTGTGTGTATATATATACCGAGGTAAATATCGGTTCGATCGGGACACGTATTCCCTGTCGACGTTACGTATATGTATATTACGCGTTTGCACGATCAGCTGATGGGAGATGTGAAAATGAAATAATTCTATGAAATAATACTCTGGGGATTTTGGTGAGGGGGTAGGAGGGGGACCTGAACGATTATGCGAACGTATACGGATTGAGGTAGAAGTGGTTCTTCTATATACCTATTATATACGTATTTATGTACGTAACGCTGGTCACTGGTTGTCGTCACTTTGAGCACTGGTCTGTACTTGAACTTGAACTAAAAGTAGCTTTGGGCATCGCGTCGTGGTTCTTTGCCTTAAGGGCCTCTCAACGAGAAGGAAATACTCCTTAAAACGTAAAAAAATCTCAACCCTCGAACTCTTCTTCGAGGGAAAAGGAACAAAACTCAACATTGGACGTCGCATCGACCGGACGAAAGGAAACTCTTGAGAAAAACCCCTTAAAAATTGGGAGTGAACTTCAATTTCCGATAATTCGTAACCCGAACGGTGAAGCGCCACTTATTAGAAAAATTAAAAAAAAAAAAGAAAGAACATCCGGTTAATTAAATAAAATATTTAATTAATTTCGTTAATCGTCTCGCTCGATGGAATCGAATTTTAGTTAGCTTCGGTGGACTAAAAAGCCTTCGTTTCGTCAATTTTGGAAACGGAAGACAAAAGAAACATCGGCAATTGCATTTGGAAGTTCACTTGTAAATCTTGGGAATTTTCTTGGAATTTCTCGCAAGGGTCCTTCACAATTCAAGGGAAATGAAAGCTTCGGGTGGGGAGGAGGGATTAATTACAAAGCTTAAAAATTGTAGACTAACGAGTTAACCCTACGCCTCTTAAAATTACGCGTACTTAATACCGGAGACGTCGCCGGATGCACCCAGGACGAACGTAATACATACATCCCCGAGGGGGCAGCGAACGCAAGCTGGAAATCCAGAAAAGACGAAGCGCGAGAAGATCTTAGCGATCGGAAAATCGAAAGCCAAAGACCCACGAGACGAGAAAATCCGGCGAAGAAAACGCGACCGTCAGCGGCCTCGGCCGCGTCGGGCGCGCCGCCATCTTGAACGGGTCCGTAGCCGCCTAAATTGTATACTATTAGTAAAGTAACTATTTATTATCGTCATTGTCATCGTGTTCCACGAGAAAGGTAAGCGAACGGCTCCTTAACGTTTGCACTCGGCTATTGCATCGTTTGATTATTGTATTGTACGACTTATCGACTATTATACTCTGTAGTTTGTACTTGGTTTTCATATTCCTGAGAAAAGGACATTTGTGGAGTGTGGAGGCCGCAGTCGTCCCCCCTTCCCCCCCCCCCCCGCAGGACGCCGAGGAGAGGGCACGGCTGCGACCCCAAAATTTTAACTTTACTTTATTTATTTATTCCATCTCTTCTACTTCTCGTATTTTTTTTCTTCTTTTTTTTTTTTTGTTTTCCCCTCCATGCCGTGTAACCCGCTGAGTAACTCACGATCGTTCTTCCCCTTTCCTTCATCTACAGTTAAATACCGTCGTGTGTATGTACAGTGACGTTACGAAGGTCGGTGCACCCTGTATATTTAATCGCGTAGGTGAGGTAGCATTTGTACTTGCACGCGGTGTGCCGAGATGTCAGTCGGAAGATTCGCATCGTGTCGGTAATTGCAGGCGTTGAAGTCTCCGAGGGACCGCGGAGGGACGGTACCAAAATGGCGGCCGTAACGTTCCCGGTAATCCTACATCCCATGCCCTTGAAAAATAGTCTACGGTCTAAATTTCTCCCTGAAGAACATCCGGTAATTGTCCTTTAGAATGTGCGGACATTGTTCGTTATTAATTGGTTATTGTAAACGCCCCTCCGGCGACCCTGGAGACCTCCACCTCATCCGCGACGTCCTAGCCGTTTCTTTCTTCCCTCTCGAATAACCCTTAGATTCGCAGCGTGTACAGTGGGTCACGTGAATGCCCTTTGAATATAATGGTCTTCCCTTTACTCGTTAGTACTTAAGAATTATGTTTACTTTGTACTATAATCCGCGGCACGCAGGACCGCCGCCCCAGTAATCGAAGCCCCGCGTTGCGTGCGCACGCGCGTCGGATATATCTTCATTTTCGTTAATATTCGCGGTCGCCATTACTGCATACTATTTTAAATACTATATACGCTTAAACGGTACAGCCGCGAGTACACTCCGGATGGTGTAGGTACAGCGAATGACATCGATTATTAATATTCCATTTTTTATCTCCCTTACATGCTGTAGGTACCTCGTGTGGTGCGTACTCTCTCGGTGGAGGAGGGTTCTTTTTTTCCTTTCTTTCTTTCTCTCGTTCGCTCAAATTCTTTGCAAAACCCGACTCGCAAAACGATGGGCACGCGCGGAAAACCCTGGCTCCGCTGCGGAAACGCATAGCCAGGTTTTTCGAGAACCTCCTAACAGAGCCGAGGCTTAATCTCGAGGCGCCATTTGACCAACCGACGCCATCTTGGATTTCCTGACAAACGCGGTAGTTCCTCGATACGGTCGACTTGATGATAGAATTAAATGTTCTAATTAACGAGATTTCTTTGAAGTGTGTGGATAGGAAATTAATTGTTTATGCAAAGTGATCGGGCGCCGATTTCGTCAAATAGGCTCTGGGGGTGTTCCCAGCCACGCTGTGTCACACACGACATCTATAAAGGATTTTGAATCCGTAAACACATAATATATAAACAACATGAAACATATTATCCTACTGCGTAGTACAATAATAGGGACGCGCGGGTACACGCGCGTACCTACGCACTCGCGCGTGCGTGTACACGCGCGTAACGCGTATCTGTATATATATATATATTTGTATATATATAAAGTATCTTTACACCGGTGATAGAGGGTTTTGGTTAAAATTTCAACAGGGCGCGCGACGGCCTCTTCGTCGAATTTCGCAAGTTTGCCAGCGGGATTCCTCACACTTTCCTAGCCCCCTCAAAGAAGAAGATGAAGATAAAGAAAAAACAAATAATTGCCACCGATTGCGTTCGCGGCCCTCTCGAAACCCTTTGCACCCCCTCGCAAGGTCCTCCCCTCGCTCTCCCTCTCCGAAAAAAAAAATCCAAAGTCGAATCCACCCTCGAGACGAGGCACCGCTCCTCCGGGATTTTCTTTCCCGGAGGAACCGCCGATAAAAGTCCAACGGAAAAGATGAAAAAGAAAAGAAAAAGCTATAAACAATCGGCGAACGGAGGAAGGTGCGAGGGGTGCCAGCGCTTAAGGTGGTTACACACGTAACGATTAGTCGGTGTAAACCGATCTGTACAGATTAAACTGACGTTGGAATTACACATGGGTGTTACAGACCTCGATTAAACTGCATGTACACCTAAAATCCCAGGACTTATCGTTGCGTGTAGTATCCACCTTGCCCGGCGGTGGCGCCGCCATCGGTCGTTACATACATTTACATAACTATACATACGCACGTTCTCCGCCCCCTGCGACGCTCTCGCACATCGTGACAGTACAATTAATCCTAATTACTCCTCGTAATAATTTTACATTGATTATCTAGGTACTCGTCCCGCCCCCCGGGATTTATCGAGGGGGGTCGCCAACCCTTCTCTGCATTTTTCAACGCCGCCGTGTCAATGTCCGTGTGCGTGCGTACGCGCACGCGTAGCCGCGAGTGTAACTCGGAAACTCGGAAAAAGAGAAAAACCGCCACCTGGGGTGGGCGAAAAAACGCAACAACGTCAACGTAACCCTAAATGTCCGGGGGTCCTTTTCCCCCAAAGATCCGCTCTGCTCAGCAGAGGTTCCAGGGGGGGAAGCACCCCCGAAAACTCTCTTAAAAAATAAACCCCCGCCTGCCGGAGCTGTACATACTCGCATGGACTCTATATACACTCAGTACGGGCGCGCGTACGTATGTAATGTGTGGCCGTGTGCGTGTGTGCGTGTACGCGTGTACATATGTAGAAACCGCCGTGTCTAAATTCACATCCGCACACGCGGGGGCATTGGCCCCCCAGCTCATCGAAATTCAAAATTCCCCCTCGTGGGTTTCAATTTCCCGATTTCGGAACACCCCTCCCCCTCGCCCTGCTCCCCCCGAAAACTTTTTTAGACTCTCACTTGAGACACTCAGTGCGATTCTGACACGCCAAACCTCCTCTCTTGTCTCCCCGAATTTCTTCACATCTTTTTTTGTCCTCCATATTTTTTTCCCCCATTTTCTCCATTTTCTTCGAATTTCCCCCCCGAAGACCGGAAATGGAGGAGCTTCGCTGTCTCTCTCCTTTATCATTTATGCAACCCCCTTTTTTTAGGGTCCCTGACGTCACTGGGTATGCGTACGAGCGTGTGGGTGCGTGTCGAAAAGGCGTGTCGCGGTAATCGATGTCGATTCTGATGTAAAAAAAAAAAGAAACGCGGCGAAGGGCTTTTTTTCTTTCTTTCTTTCTTTTTTTTTTTCTCTAGGTATTTCGAAATTGGCCAATCGCAATCGGTCGCGCAATTTCGGATCACCTCTTCGTTATGCGATATTCACGTATGTGCATATTTGTATATATTTATATATTCGTAGAAATCTTTGTATACGTATATGCTGTTACTCCAAAATTACTCTCGACGAGGGTAAATATATATTCATTTTCGGCTCGGGGACTTCGAGAGACCCTTTATCGAGAAAACTCGCATCTCGGTGGAATGTACGTAGAAATGCGATTTCGGGCAGTCGAGTGAAAAAGGCACGGGCAAAAACCTGCGGCATACCTAGAATCCATGATTTCGTTCGATACGGACCAGCCATTACGTCAAAGAGACAAGATGCAATCCCACCCTGAGAAAATTCAACCGGAGAAATATTTAGTTAATCCAAAAAATTGACTCGAACTCCAATAAATTGTATACGACGTTTCTTCGGAATTGTGATGACGTAGAACCACCAGAAATGTACTCGTATGAACAATTTTTCTTTTTCTTTCTGCACGTGGATAATACACCGTGTCTCTTCCACGCCATGGGACCAGCAACTTTTCAATGTGTCATTTTTATTTACTTTAATAATTGACAGTTTTCCACGACTGGTCGTAGTCGATCGCGCTTGTCTTCGCGAGAGGCATCGAAGTCCCCGGAATAAATTGGCCTGAAAATCGGGAAAGGCTGTCGACATTCATTTTCCCTGTATGCACGTAAAAGTCGGACAATATAATGAGGTAGTGACACCCCGGTTTCCTTTAAGATCGTGGATATTGTGCAAGCGGTGTGTGTGCGTGTGTGTCGTGTGTGTAACACATGCTTTGTTGGACTCGAAAATGAGAAATGAACCGTTCTTTGGGCGCCGCGTCTCGCGTAGGTACGTAAAGCACTTCGTCGTTCTAAACATTAAATAATTCTCTCTATCATCTATTGTCTTTGATAACTTACGATAGGCATATCGTTGTGAGGTAACTCTTTAAACCTTCGCTCCCTCCCTCTCTCTCTCTCTTTCTCTTTTCCATATCCCCGTAACAAAAGAAAGAAAATCTGTAAAAAGTGTAAATACTGCAACAAGTAATATCGCGGTGCCATCCTGACTAGGAGTATCTCTAACTATTATTCATGTAATGTACACATATATATACACAGGTATGTATATATATATATTTATATATATTTCTCCATTTATCTATTGTAATCGTTCCTATATCCGCGACTCGATCGATCCCCCTTCGTGTTACATTTCCTTCCTTTTCACCGTCTATTTTGCATGTTTTACCCGCGATCGATGCCTAGTTTAGCTTCAATTCACTATTGCGACTATTGCTTAGGACAAAAGTCCTCGATATTAAACACTGTAAATAGGTAACAAAATTGGTATCCCTTGATCTGCTGAATAGCGTCCCGACGCGCCTACCGATCTCGCCACGCGGAATCGACCTCGTGATAAGGAACTCCTGTGATAAGAGACACCTCGCCAACGAGTCTCGGGTTCCCCCTCCACCTTGGTATATGAAAAGTTATAAAAAACGCGTGTGGTAGAAATTTCGGGCGCGACTGCGCGGTACAAAAATCCGTTTTGATAAGTTATCGATAACGACACCGCCGGCGATTTTTCTTTTCTTTCCGTTTGTTACTTAACGTTATATCACTTAACATCCTCCAGGACACTCGAAATTGGTATTACTGAAAGGGAAGTCCTTATCACTAGCTTGGTTCCGCTATTATCGTGCTCGGCTCCGAAAATATATAATATATATATATATATTCATCTTTTCTCGTGGTTAATATTTTTAGTGACACTTCGTACGACCTGCTCCCCCTCCCCTCACGTACAAAAGTAAGATCCGTATCTGCGTATAAAAAGTATCTCCGTTATGTTTGGAATTTCCTCGACACACGTCTTTTCGAAACGAAAGCCGAAAAGTTGTACGCGGTGGCGCTCGCGCGTTAAACCCAGCATAGAAGTAGTCTCCATTAACACAGAGTGGGTCAAAACACTGGTACCTTTTTTTTTTATTTTTTTTTTTTCTAGAGAAAGAGAATAACATTTCCAGTCGAAAGTTCCTTTTCCATTTTTCTCTCCGATCGGTACTTACCGAGATACTGGCTTAACTTTTCAAATCTCCCGCGCGTTCGCGATTGGTCGGTTTAATTTATTTATAACTCGAGAAGTACCGATGGTAGAAAAAAATAGAAAAGGAACTTTTGCCTGGTTATGTTATCCTCTTTCCCGCCTTAAATGGTCCAGCCAGTGTTTCGGGACACCATGTATAGTTTTTCTGGTTTTGGCACTGTATGTGACGTAACTTAAACCCTACGATCAACTATAGTTCCATCCTAGGCTCGACTTTAACAGTAATAAACATTACTAGGTGTAGAAACGGTGTAGTGTAGTAGGTGGTAATAGTAGTAGTAGTAGAAGTTCCATCGCAGTAAATATTGTACTTAGATTGCTATTGTGATAGTGGCAGTAGTTTTGTCCGCGGTATTTTTCTTTCTCTTTCTCGATTAATTGTTCTTTTCGACGTTCTTGACGATAGGAAAAATAAGATCGTAGGGCGGATCTTGTTTCTCGTTTTGACAACTATTTCCTGAGTAGTGATTGGCTGCGATTCGCTTGCTATCCTATTACTATATATGCTCTCTTGCTCGACTGTATCCCCGTATTACTATTTCCCGTTTTCCTGTATTCCATCGCCGACTATATATCGCCTCTTCTATAGTATAGTGAATTATTCTTACATGACGGTTGCACTTTCATTGACTAGTTTTGTGATTTGCAGCGCACGCGCTCCGGCGCCGATATATTACTTTTCGGTCCTTCCGTTTCTCCTCCTCGCTGTCTCATATATATATATATATTTTTATATATATCGGTATAGTTTAATATAGTTTCTCTACACGCTCGCCTGAATCTCTCAAGTACGATGGAAAACTTGCGGGGCGCTTCCCGCGGTCCCAGAGTGGCCAAAAATTGGCCAAATTTGTGGATGACCATTTTTTTTTTTTTTAAGATCTCAAAAACGCGATCGTAAAATAATGGAACAATTCAAGTTTAAACAAATACAGTCGGCTCGACTGTTTTAACCGGTTATCGACGGATTGTACGAAAACGAGGTTGGAAATGGTATTAAAATAAATTAAAAAAAAAAAATAAGAATACGAGGGGGAGGAAAATGAAAGGATTGAAAATTTCGGCCGAATTTCAAAAACGTTCCTGTGGGTCTTCGCCATCAAGATCTCCCATTAGCCTGAGAGATTAACATTAAAGAGATTAAAAAATAAAATCCGAAGGGAAGAAAGTAAAAACATCCCCAGCAAATCTGCCATGGGGTCGAGATATTCGATATAAACAAAAAAAGAAATTGAAAAACGGTAAGAAAAATATAGGATCGACCATTCGGGCCAAATTTCAACCCCATCAAATTCCCCCTGTAACCCCGCATCGGTCGTACGCTGATAAAGAAAAAGCACAATTGAACCGAATAAATCTCTCGTTAATTCAAAGAATAATTACACGACTGAAATAAACTGGAATAAATCGGAGGAAACGCTTCTTCCGACTTGTGACAATCTATCTGAGTTTATTCCAGTCGAGCTCCATGAATTAACGAAATGTACCTTCGTTACAATTAAAAGAAACATTTCTCCGGTCCAATGACTCTTTCTTTTTCTCAGCGTAAATTGGATGAAAATCGGTTAAAAAAAAAAAAAAGAAAATTGAGAGATCCAGCCAGAACCGCGGCCCGCGCCTCGTCACTCCCGCGCGCGTCCCTCCTCGAAGGGGACAGGGAACCGGCCCGTCCCTCGGGACTCCCGGGACGGGCCGGACTCGACGGGCCCGCCGGTCGGCGACGATCCGGACTCAACGGGCCCACCGGTCGGCGACGAGCCGAGCGAAGAGAGAGGGCGCTCCCGGCACCCTGCAGGTAACTCTAGTAGAAGTCCGGGTCCCTCGGGAACCCGGTTATTGGGGCACCGAGTCCGCCACCGAGTGGTTGTTCGACTGCTGGAACGCCTTCTCGTCGATATCCGGCTTGTGTTCCCGGGCGATGTGGCGCCGCACCGTGTTGTTCCTGGTGAAGGTCCTCGAACAGAAGGGGCAGGGCACGCGGATGCCCTGGTGGCGCTGCCGGATGTGAGCTCGCAGATTCGTCTCGTACCCGTAGAGCCGCTCGCAGAACGGACATTTCAGCTTCTTACCTGTTGGAGAAAGGGTTATTAATTATTTATTCGTTCCTTCCAAAATCGACAATGTGGTCGATAAACCCCTTAAGGTGGGACGAAAGTGCCGTCAGAGTTCTCATGATACTATCGAAGAATTTCCAATTTGATTGCTTAGTCTTACTAAGCTCGAAAGTCGCGAGATTTCATTTTTCGACGAGAAGAAAAAAATGTATTTATCCCGGACAAAAAACAAAGGACACTTTTTTTCTCTTGGGAGTTTCAAGACCTTCCTTGGGAACTCCAAAATCGCGGGGTGAAGTTTCAAATGACGACGTATGAGTTATGAGAGATGACTTATAGAGTTCGCCACGTTGGACTCAGAAAATCAAGTGGCTCAACTCAATAACAATTGGATTTACTCTTTTTTTTCTTTCTTCGGTGCACGCCGTCTTCTTGGGACCACTCGAAAATACATAATCGCTCCTCGACGAGACGTCTCCCTATGAGAACAATTTGAACACGTGCAATTTGGTTTTACGGCATTTAAACAAGCACTAATTAAAGCCGGAGGTTACGCCAAGTGAAACTGGGGCGAGAACGCGATCTGCATGTCTGAAAGAATCTTCACCTCCTACCAAACCTAAAACTTAGAATGAGAAAAAAAGAAACATCTCGTTCACTGGAGCCAAAGAATTATTTTTCGAATTTTCAAGAAATATCGCCTTCGTATCAATGAACCCTTTCCTTAGGGATGAAAATGCTCGAGGAAAAAATGAAAAGCATTCAAGAGCTCGTCTTGTAAATCCTCCCACGTGTACCTTCGGTGTCGACGACCCGAACGCCCGCCATAGTTTCTAAAAAAGGAAGAAAGAGAAGAGAGAAAAAGAAAAAGAAGAAGAAGAAAGGGATTGAAAAAACAGACCAGGTGCTAAAAACAATCATGGAGGGCCTGCGATAACGAGGGATTTCGAAAGAGGTCCCTCGCCTCGGAAACGTGCGAAAACCCATTAGAAAGAATCCTAAGCGAGCGTTCCAGGAAATCATGCGTGTGTCGAGGAAGGCCACGTCTTCTTTCCCTTTTTAGAGTGCGAGCGAGTCGTCGATTCGCGGAAGTGGGGCCCGACTCGCGGCATTAGGCCAATGCCTCTTGTACGCCGGCGCGTGCAAGGCCATCGTAGAAGAGAATCGGTTCCCATCGGTCCTATCGGGTCCTATCGGATCCTATTGGGTCCTATCGGGCCCCCATCGGGGCCCGAAATCATCAGAAAGAACGAGGTCTTTCAGCGCTAAGCCCTTTTGCCATACGGGCGAGTTTCGCGAGGGCGTGCGAGCAATATTGGACCAAACGCCCGACGCACTTACGGGGCCATATCGCCGAAAGGGTTAAAAATGATTTCCAACGATTTCCAGCTGATTTCCATAATGAAGAAGCATGATTCCCTTAGTGAGGAACCCCTACTCGGGTTTTTCGTGCGTTCCGCATCCGGAATTCCGCGTGGCAGGGTCGATTCGGCGAAAATCGCGTGCCTGGCGTGGGCAGGGCGTGACATGGCCGCCGGGTTTTCGGTAGTTACACCGCCTAAAAATAGTCCTCGGAGAGGGGGATGGCCTAGGAAAGAACAAACGGGGCCGGGGTTGGTGCTCGGTTTCGTGCAGTTGACTATGAAATTCACAAAGGCGGCTTGGGAACAAAGGCGATGCTCGGGGGGCGAAGTGGGGCGAAAATGCCCCAGGGGGCGAGAGCTCCTCGCGAGCTCGATTCGCGGCCATCGAGGACGCGAATCGCCTTCCGGGACTCGGACGAAGAGGTGCCTCTCGATTCCTGGAACGACGACAAAACTCCCCCAAACAGGACGCACCGAATCGTTCGAGACTTCAGCACGTGACCCTAAGGAAGAATCCTCGTGAAATGTCATTTTAAATACCCAGAAATTAAGAGATATTATTCGGATAGGGAAGAAATTCAAATCGAAATGGTTCCCCAGTTCTGCTGATGACAAGGAAATCCTGTCCTTCCTCGAAAGTCCATGAGAAAAATAAGGGAGAAACTCCTCGCGCCGGAAGGCAGAGCGAGCGACCGAAGCGCCGCCATTTTGAAAAACCGCACCCGAGGTCCTCGAGGAAGGACTGCGGGAATCTTCTCGGGAAAAAGGCCGGAAATGGTATAAAAATTCAACGACTATAGCCAGCCCTTCCAAGGCTAACTACTAGTCGAGCGAACGGCCCTCACCGTTTCGAAATCGAATGGAATTAACCTTCGGCATTGCGCAAGAAGTGTCGTGCACCGCGTACCTGCCGACGCATCGTGCGTGTTTACCTCCGAGGAGAGGCAAAGGGCCCGCAAAAGTTCCGACTAGGTGGAAGGGACGACTCTAAGAGGGGAGGAGATATATCGCCATGCGAGAGGGAGTAGCGGAAGGTTAAGTTACGAAACGATTCAGCCTCCAAGGTCGCCTTTAGCCGAGCCCGGACCTTCTCCCTTGGCGACTCGAGAGACGCCTAGCGAGCGGGCCACGAAGTAAAATAAAAACAGGGAAAAAAAAACCTTTGTTAACAAGTAAAGCACATCACATCGCATCGCCAATAAAATGATCGACGAAAACGATGTCTAATTTCAATGGATGATCGGTATTTTCCCTTCGACACTCTCGGGAGCTCCAGAGAGGAATTTCTAATCGCAGCACTTCTAATCCACCACATAACCAGAGTAGAAATAAAAGTACTCGAAGGTCGAGTTACGAAATCGCGATTCGGCCTCGAGATCGACCCAAGAGAAGAGGAACGTTCTCCCTCGGGAAGCCTAAGGTGATATGAAAGGGTTATTCTATGCAGATAAAACGTCAAAATATTCCTAACACTTTTCTCGATATTGCCCCAAAACATTTGACACTTCAGCACGTGACTGAGGAGCTCCTGAGGAAGAACGCGATGCTCATAGAATTTCAATTTAATAAAAATTAGCCTATTTAGCCCAGAGTAGAACCAAGGATACATATTTATTTTTTTTTTAATTAAATTTTCACGAGTATTGCCTTCTTCCATAATCACGTGCGGGAGTTCCAAATTATTCGACGCATCCCATTTGGAGAAAAGTTCTATCAATATTTTGACGTTTCGATATGTATATAGAATGACCCTTTCATATCACCTTAAGACGGATAGGAAAAGGCAGGGGCGAAAAAAAGGGATAGAGGGAGGAAGAGAGGAGGACAATCTCAACGATCCAGGCCTTGACCCATTTCTCTGGATTCCCTGGAACCGCTGGGCGACCGGAAGGAATGGCAAAAGGAAGGAGAAACAGAAGAGGCGACGGAGAAGATGTAGAAAAGACGTTCCCCAGACCGAGGAGCTCCTGGTCCTGGGGTATGGGGATTCCAGGGCCAGAAGAAAATCAATGGAGTTCGGCCGTGCGCGGTGCAGCCCGAAAATCCCGAGGGATCGCACCCTCCTCCCTTTCGCACCCCCATGGAGGAGGGACACCCCCTCCCGACCGAGAATGTCCCGCTAAGGGAGACCATAACCCGCACAACAGAGGTCGGTCTGGATTCCCGTGGTTCCCGAAGGAAGGGAGGTTCCCGAGGCGCACCCTGAAGATGGTCCCGAAGGTCGCCTCGAGGGTCACCAAAGAATACCCCGAAGAACATCCAAAAGAACCCCCCGAATATCATCCTGAAAAACACGCCGATGAACATCCGAAATCGCCAAAAAAAAAAAAAAGAAAAAAAAATTTGATTTCTGGGGAAAAAGTGAAGAAATTCCAAAAGTCTTCCTTATTTGTAACTCTTTGCGTGGTGGTTACCTAAAAGGTGAGATTTCTCGATTTCTCCTGCCTAAGGTCTCACCTAGTGACTTTCGTCCCCAGGGCCGGTTAGGGTTAGGTTATCCCTCGCGAGCCTACTTCCGGTGCGCGCGCACCCACACGCACCCGCACGCACCCTCGCGTATTGATTGGTGCGTGCGGTCGCGGGTGGCGCCGCGCGCGGCTGCGTCGGCAAGCTGTTCCAATGGCGCACGCATTGCCGGCATCCGGGCCGGCTCCCTGACGCACACCGATACGCATTTACGCACTCGTACCCGCACTTAGCGCTCGCTCCCTGATGCACACCCACGGGGACACACTTATTCACCCATACCCTCGTACACGCGCTCGATCATACACATACTCTGGCGCTCACACACGCATACACATAATTGGACGCTCACGCATCCATACGCACACTGGGATGCCCTCACACATTCGTGCACACTCCCAGAAAAAAAAATTCAGTCCTGACAAGAAATTTGACTAACACCCAGAAGATGGGCCAGGAAAAGGATTTTTGTTACATCGACAATAAAAAAAAAATAATTATTTCACGGGGCAATAATAATTCAATTCATAGTTGCGATATTCCTGCAGAGCTTGCTTGTTCGAATGGTAACATTTAATTCAGTCCTTGCAAGAAATTCATTTACTAATTACGAAAGCTCACCCCGACGCCATCGCAGCGCGTGGAGTCGCTTAACCGCGTCGAACCCTCTCACGCGCGATGCAGGATGAGAAGGAGCCACTCTCGGTGAACCCGGACGACCGGGGTTGTCCCTTTGTGTCCGCACTCCGCGGGGAAGCGTGTACCAGGAAGGATCGGCCCAAGGATCGAAGGATACCGAGGGGGGCGGCCGGGATGGGTGGAGGATATAGGATTACGCATTGTGCCGTGCGCAGGGTACACTCCCGATGCGTAAGTTGGAGTAAGTTGGAGTGCGCGCGAGTGCGCCCGCCGACGATTTCCTCGGTCTACTTACCCTGGAAGAGGGACCCCCCCTTCGTGTAGGGAATCTGCAAGGACCTAGCGAGGGATGTAGGGCACGGTACTGCGTGCAGATCATCTGGCCTGCAATTAGGCGCACCGAGGGATTGGATAAAATTAAGGGGGTGCGAAAGTGCCATCCGAGGAGGCAATCCTCCGTGACACTTTTCTCCAAACTGGGTGCACCGAATCATTTGAAATTTTAACCCGTGATCGCGGAGGCCCCAAGGAAGAACGCGATGCTCG